ACCCTTCATGTTCCTCCTGCGGGAGGTGGGTCCACAGTTGGATGAGCCCATGTATCCGGTTTGGGCTGGGCCCGGCCGGGCCCCATGGGCAAAAGCCCGGCTACCAGGCGCTCGCTCACGGGCCCCAACCCCAGGCCTGGCTCCAGGGTGGGACCCCGGTAACCCTCCGGGCCGGGTACTCCGACTCTTTGATTGTATATCCATGAAAGATCCTTTAGCTATAAACTGTAATTCCATTTGTGTGTATTTTAATTTGTGTTTTTATGTTGTTTTCATATCATGTCCTGATAATTGTAAAGCGCATTGAATTGCCTCTGTGTTTGAAATGGGCTCAATAATTAAAGGTGCCTTGCCTATATGCTGCAAGAACATAGTAGCACTGTCAGCTGCAGCTTTCCTGCATGGAGTTAGCATGTTCACCCCATGCATGCTGGAGTTTTTCGAGGTAGGCTAACCCACTACCCTCCCTCAGAGCTAAAACATGCCTGTTACATTAACTGCTATTCTCTTTATAGAGTCTCACATATGAATTAAGCACATAAAATATGAACACAAAAAGTTGAAAAATGCTACGTTGTATAACTGAGTAAATAGATTTTTAGAAATACTAAACTCATTCCTGTTCATTAAATATTGCTATTTATAAAACAATAAATAAATTCACCCATGATACTTCAATTCCGTAACATCTGTGATGTTCTTTTAAGCTTTTAATTAAAGTAACATAAGTTTATCCATTTCTGGTCCTTATTTTGTGTGTGTGTGTGTGTGTGTGTGTGTGTGTGTGTGTGTGTGTGTGTGTGTGTGTGTGTGTGTGTGTGTGTGTGTGTGTGTGTGTGTGTGTGTGTGTGTGTGTGTGTGTGTGTGTGTGTGTGCGCGTGTGTGTGTGTGAGAATCCCAGTCTGCTGATGCCATCTAGTGGATGGAGATGTTTTTACAGCAAGGAGAGGTGTGAAGCCTCCAGGTGTGCAAGCAAGAAACAGCAGTGTTTCTTTATCTGAGATTTTTCAGATGTTTGCTGTAAAACAGATTATTAAACTACACAGACAATATTCTGGCTGCATGGTGGAGCAGTGGTTAGCACTGTTACCTCGCAGCACAAAGGTTGCAGGTTCGAAACTCGGCTGCAGCCTTTCTGCGTGGAGTTGCGTGTTCTCCCCATACATGTGTGGGTTTCTTCCGGGTACTCCGGTTTCCCCCACAGATCACAACATTCCCTATAGGTTATAGATTGTAAGTCACGTTGGATAAAAGCGTCTGCCACATACATAAACAGAAACAGAAACGGAAAACGAACGGGCCTGATTTGATCATGTGAGGGAAACATCAGAAATGTGGAAAAATCTGACAATCAACATAAAATAAAATACGACGACAACATTTTCATAGAACTTTTGGTAACTCCCAATTAATTATATGAATACCTTTAAATTGTATTTATTTCAGAAATCAAAAGGCAAGAGGACATCAGCAGAAGAGTGCCACGGGAATAATAAAGTTGTCTAAACAAAGATCACCCAGGCAAGAAAGCATAGCTTTAATAATCTATTATGTTCTTTGTTTTTTTCACCCGATGAAAACAAAACACAAATGTTGTGTTTGTAATTAGGTTCAATATCCAGAATTTGATTCAAGGCAAGTGAAACTTTTTAAAATCAAAGCTTGGCAAAGACTCAGATCTGCTGCCCTAGCATGATAATCTCATCCAGCGTTCAGAAGTTTGTCACTGGGTGGCAAATGAAAGAAAAAAGAAGGCAGAGAAGGAAAATGAGACAAGATAACAGCCTATTTGCCTTCTTCAAGTTGTAAGATCCAGGAGTAGATGGCAGCAGTGGCAAGTAATAAAGCCACAAATGCCCAAAGACACAAATCCAACTCAGATGTTTCTTTCATTTTCCAAATCAAACTACATGACCTTGTAGGCAATCTGAGTGGGCAGAGAGGGACACGAGGCCTTCTGGATTCCAGAGGTAGCCAAGACAATTTTCCTTAAATCACCTGTTATCTTAATCTGACAGCCAGACTCCATTACATGGCATAAAAATTGCTTTTCTTGCCACCAGCACTTGTAGGGAAATTATCTTAATTGTGTCATGATTATGCCTCTGAGCTCCGGTGAGAGCACAGCGATGCTCCTTTCAAACATTTCATACATGTTGAACGTGTGCCTCTATCAGCTCTGTGAGGAGGCAGGAGGAGAGGGAAATGGGTTTATCAGCTCTTTTTTCTGTCACTTCAAGAGTTTTAAGAGTATAAAAAAATACAAAAACCAAATGGGGGAGAGAGAAGAAATAAATTAGAGCACAGACTAGAAATACAAGAAAAAAGTAACAGATCAGATATGAGCATCAACCTATTAGACACTACTCCTTTCCAAATGCTGTTTTCCAGTCTAAGCTTGAAGACATTCTGCACACTGCCACCCAGAGCCCAATCAGTGTAACTGCATCACACAATTTAAACAAATTCTAATAAAAAAAAAGACTGATTGTGTTGTATTGTTTCTCTTGTGTTATCAAAATTGATAAAGTAGTAGTTCTATTTTTAACATAAATAACCTTGTGTCCTGTTTATTAGCTGCTGAGCGGGTTACCTGATGCACACGCTAACCCGTACCCTAAAACAGGGGTGTGGAATAGATAAATCATCATTTATGAGCCATTCCCATCTGTACTGGGTCAGCCCGGGCCGGGTAGCGTAGGTTGTTTACATATCTGGGTGTCTACAGATGATGAATATTTTTATTCCCAATATTAACTTGAAAGCTAATTCAGAGATTATAAACTTTTAGTTTGCCCTAAGAACCTCATGAATTGATGAACCATGAGACTAATAAACACTTTTACGTTGACAACGTGCCAGATCATGTGTAGGAGAGCTCAGACTTATTGGAGTCTAGTCTGCTTTTAATTACACTTGAACTTCCCACAACCGCTCATCTCAGGTCAGCATTCTGAAATCAGTGATTGTTTAACGGGGTTTTACGTGCGCTTCAATGGACAGAGCTGTGAAAAAATAATTGATTGTCCGATTTCTTGTGTTTTTGCTTTTTTTTTTTTGCCTCACTTTAATGTTTCAGATCAGCAAACTAATTTCAGTATAACATAAAGATAAGCATAATTATGTTTTTAAATCACAGTTTTAATTATTAAGTATACAAAGGTGACAAAAACAACCTGACCCTGTGTGAAAAAGTAAAATCCCATTTTTGTTAAATCTGGAATAATTAGGATTAACGTGATTTTGGAATGTGAGGTTAGCCTGGTTACAACTACACCTGAAGGAGCACTTCAACAGAACCTGGCTGTCTGTGTCTGACCACATTAAGAAGGCTAAAAGATCTCAAAAAGCAACATATCATGCCATTCTGAAAAAAGAACAAAGGGACCAAGAACAACAACTGATAGCACTTTTTTTCTGCTTTTTGGGGTCTAAATCTTGTGATCAACTTAAATTCTGATTTAAAAAAATCAAATATTGAATATTTATCTAAACCAAAAGTCCTCACGTCATGCATTTAAGCTAAAATGCTAATGCTAACTTACCTTGCACTGGCTGTAGGGACGTGGGTGATGGGGTCACGCAGAAGTGTTGCTGCCTTTTGCAGACACTTGTTTCCTGCACGTTCTGCAAACGGGATAGCCGTCTTCTATTAACTGTCCCTCAGCGTTTTTCAGAAATCCAAAATATGCCCATACTTCCGATTTAGTCTTCTCTGAGGGCTGATGGATGTCCTGGGCGCTGCCGTCTCCCCCTTCGGCCATTATTTTAGCTTCAAAATTTTGGTTGCAAACTAAAAAAAAAAAAGTGCGTGTGCGCGGGAACTTCAGCAGAAGCGACGGTGGCTCGTAAGGGTCACTGCGCCTAAACCGCGGCCACGGTAAACCCACCGAGATAATTTAGTTTTTTAAAAACTGGACGGTTATTTTTACTGTCAACTTTTTTACCGGAGTTTACCGCTATACCGGTTACCGTGACAACCCTAAAACCAGGCTGGGAGTTTTTAAAAGCCTCAGGAATCTTTTGCAGGTGTTTAATAAGTTGATTCAGACGATTAGGTTAAAAACTCATTTAGAGAACCTTTTCATGCTAATTTTTCGAGATAGGAATTTTGGGTTTTCATGAGCTGTACGCCAAAATCATCAATATTAGAAACAATAAAAGGCTTGAACTACTTCAGTTGTGTGTAATGAATCTAATATATATGAAAGTCTAATGTTTATCAGTACATTACAGAAAATTATCACAATATGCAAACTTTTTGAGAAGGACCTGTATATATATATATATATATATATATATATATATATATATATATATATATGAGAGAGAGACATTTTAATATAGATATATCTATATATATTAAAATATATAGATATGTAGACACACAGAGACACTCATTCTGGCAGGACTGTGACATGGTTCGTGTCACTCGCAGTGTGTACTGATCTCTTATGTCAGCATGGTAGACATTTGAAATCCAACCTCAATCAAATTCAGATGATGCAGTTTATCTAGAACTTTTTTTTGTCCGTTTCTTTAACAGCGACAGCAGCTATACAATAAAGTAACCAGGCTATTTTAAAATGTAAGGAGTAAAAGAAAAATGTTAGCCAATATATAGTTACTCCAGTGAATTTAACACACAATTTGTAAGCGTTTTTACTTTGTTACACCTTTGTAGTTTAACTGTTGTGCTGTTCTTTCCACTGATGGAGCACTGGAGAGGTTGGTGCTTGTTAAGCTTTCTGAACTTGTAGAAGAACCTACTCAAACCAGCTGAAAGTAGACTGATCCTAATGACTGGAGAGGACTCTTCTGTTCAACATTTTACTTAAAGCTTAGTATAATAAAGCTTGAAGAATCCAGGTCTCGATTACATCTGCAACATCATTTCTTCACAATATACAGGTAGCTTTGAAAGTTTCCAGAAGAAATGTTTATTTTTCAATACTCACTTAAACTTTTCTTTTATAGGAAAAAAAAATCTAACACACAAATGATTTACTTTTTTTAATGATTTTTTTTTGTATTTGGACAATTTCTCCAGTGTTGTCCACAACCGTTCACTTCAATGGTAGTTGCATAAATCTTTTCAACACGAGAAGGACCTCAACCAGGTATGTGGATGCAGGATGTCGAGTTAGCAGCTAAGATGCTAAACATGAACTCCTGACAACAGGAGAGATGTTCAGAAATGGAACATTCCTGTTGTCTGGTTGAAAAGCACCTCGGCACCGACTAGCTGGTTTGTATCCTTCTAGTTTTAAGGCTGATAAAAGGAACCATTGCTATTCAACAGACCAACCTGCATTGCAACTGGAAGACAAAAGGACTGGACACTGACCCGATACAGAGGGCGAAGAACACACCACTAGACAGACAGTTGGCACAGCATGGTCATTTTCTTCTGTAGAGTGATTTACTTTTAAGTCCATTCAAAAATTAGTGTGACGTTCGATGCAGTGGAGTGCTAGCCTAGTGTTGTACAACATCAAGGTGTGACATTATCTCCACAAACATCTGGCAGTTTGAGTGGATTTCATCCTGCTGCGGCTCAAAGCGAGCTACACCCCCCTCCCACGTTTGTACCAACTCATAAGGCTACAAGGCAGGTTACAAGCAGATGGTAGGACAAGACAGCCACGACAGTGTGCTAAGGGACCCACGAGAAGACTACTTTACTCTGCTACATGGAAAAAGCAGGAAGAGGTGGGTTACTTGGCCAGCTGAGTGGCAGCATTCGAGTCCCTTTACCCCTTCCTGCAAAAGGCAACTAAGGGCAGCTTATGTGAAACAGCCGACTCCCTCCCCCCCAACAATTTGGTATAACAGTTCCACGTCTGAGCAAAAGGATTTTAAAGTACATAAATGAAATCAAGCAACTGTTCAAACCACAATGAAATGTCTGCTCTAAACATTTAACCAGTCCTTGGTAGGCTTAATTGCAACACCTGTCACTTTTAAGCACAAGACAGATACAAAGTTCACAAATGAATATCTGAAAGCACTTGTTCAAACCGACTCTGGAAGAGGAGACATTCTCACAACTGAAGACTTGAGGGTCAGCGGACAGTCCGGGTCAACAGGTGGAGGAGGGGGATGATAACAGGGAGGGTGATTACTAACGTTTGGGCCAATCTGTAGCAGCATGGCTTAGAAGCGCTTGGGTCCCCAGGGTGAAGCCTTTGCTTGTACTGGAGCTCCAAAGCTCGGGAAGTCTTCGGAGCTGCTCATGTCCGGGGCCTGGAATGCAGAAACCCATCAGGAAGGGAAGTTTTCGCAAATTTCTAACTACAGCGTCAACCCTGTAGCTAAAAATAATAGTTACCTTCTCACTACCGGTGGCCCAGGGAGCCTCCCTCACCACAAAACCTTTTGACGGGCCTCGTTCATCCATAGCAGCAGCACTACTGCTGGAGGGCCTCATGTACGCCGCCTTTGCCTCATTCTCAACAACATCTGCCAGCTGACCAAAAACACATCAGTGTCAACAACATTCCAGATGTACCGACCAGAGGAGATTCACATGGGAGCTTACATATTCCTCCTCCAAGTTAAGGAGATGATCAATGGCTTCATCCACAAGCTCAGGGCGTCCAATCACCGTCACCTGGTTTGGGTCGGCAGCTCCACTCTGTGGAAACCTGAGGTCAACCTGAAAACAACACGCCCCACCATTCTGAGTATCAATCATCAATTCTAACCCCCCCCTTGTCCCGGACACTGAATAAAATAAAGGTTGGGTTATGTGGAGCTACAGCCAATCGGTCACATCAGTTAACACTCAGGATGCGAGACTCTCTGCGACAAACATCAGATCTAAGCTCAGCATCTAGAAATGTGTGTCTGCTAAGGTCAGTTAGCTTCGGTGGCCATGTTGAACTGAAGACTTCAAACTGATCTACACGACTTTAAGAATGGAACACCTACCCCACTGGTAAATTAGATTCATCCACTCCAGCCACCTTTAATTTAATTCAAGAACAAATCATTCTGAAATGTTTGAATCATAATTTTGCCAGACCAAGAACTGAAATCTGATATTTAAGATAAATATGTGCATTTCAAATAAAAACTACATTTCTCTGACAGATCATTCCAAATCCCTCTCAGCAATCTAACCTTAAACTCCTCCATGATCTTGCGGATACCCTTTCCTCGAGCTCCAATAATGCGGGCATGGACTCTGCTGTCAAGGGTGATGTCCTCCGAGATCATCTCCTCCAACTCGTCCACAATAGCCTGGATAGAATCTCGTGCAGCGATGGCGTTCTGCTCATACCCTGTAATTGTTATCTGATCCTGTGGAAAAACAGGAAGTTTCCATTATTTTCAGTCATGTACTGAAACAGGGGTCAGGTGGTAGAATTTTGCATCCCATCTTTCAGAGTCCAACCCTCCCCTGAGCAGAGAGTCAGACTGGTCACAGTTACAATTTCCCCTTTGGGACATAACGTAAAACTTTTTCAGGTCGTGTTATTTTAGATATATATATATATATATATATATATATATATATATATATATATATATATATATATATATATATATATATATATATATATATATATATATATATATACATATATATATATACATATATATATATACATATATATATATATATATATACATATATATATATATATATATATATATATACTGGAGCAGATTAAGATGAGGATGTCTCACTTAGATCGTTGTCCACCTCGCTGGCGGGGAAGGAGCAGGAGGTTGTGGCAGAGGTTGAGCGATACCGGCTAGATATAGTCAGACTCACCTCGACACATAACATTGGCTCTGCAACCCAAGTCCTTGAGAGGGGATGGACACTCTCCTTTGCTGGAGTTGCTCTGGGTGAGAGGCGGAGGGCTGGGGTTGGCTTTTTGTTAGCCCCAAGACTCTGCCTGTGTGTTGGGGTTCACCCCGGGGTAAGAGAGGGTAGCTTCCCTGTGCCTTCGGGTCGGGGAACGGGTCCTGGCTGTTGTTTGTGCTTATGGGCCAAATATCAGTTCAGATTACCCACCCTTTTTGGAGTCCCTGGGACGAGTGCTAGATAGTGCTCCATCAGGGGACTCCATTGTCCTGCTGGGGGACGTCAATGCTCACGTGGGCAATGACAGCATGACCTGGAAGGGTGTGATTGGGAGGAACGGCCCGCCTGATCTGAACTCGAGTGGTGTTTCGTTATTGGACTTCTGTGCAAGCCGCAGTTTGGCCATAACGAACACCATGTTCGAACATAAGGATGCCCACCGGTACACTTGGTACCAGGGCAGCCTAGGTCACAGGTCGATGATAGATTTTGTAATTGTATCATCTGACCTGTGGCCGTATGTTTTGGACACCCGAGTGAAGAGAGGAGCGGAGCTGTCAGCTGATCGCCACCTGGTGGTGAGTTGGATCAGATGGCAGGGGAAGATGCCGCGTAGACCTGGCAGACCCAAACGCATAGTGAGGGTCTGCTGGGAACGCCTGGCAGAAGAACCTGTCAAGACGGTCTTCAACTCCCACCTCCGACAGAGCTTTGACCGCGTCCCGAGAGCAGTGGGGGACATCGACTCCGAGTGGGCCTTGTTCCACTCTGCAATTGTTGAGGCGGCTGTTGCTAGCTGTGGTCGCAAGGTGGCCGGTGCCAGTCGTGGTGGCAACCCCCGTACCCGCTGGTGGACACCAGAGGTTCGGGGAGCCATCAGGCTGAAGGAGGAGTAGAACCGCTGCTCCTCCAGATCGAAAGGAGTCAGTTGAGGTGGTTTGGGCATCTGGTCAGGATACCTCCTGGACACCTCCCTGGGGAGGTGTTTCGGGCATGTCCTGCCGGCAGGAGGCCCCCGGGTCAACCCAGGACACGTTTGGAGATGCATCCTCTCCAATCTGGCCCGGAAAGCCTCAGGGTCCTGCCGGAGGAACTAGTGGAGGTGGCTGGGGAGGGGACTGTCTGCTGCTCCCTAGTTGGGATGCTGCCCCCGCGACCCGGATAAGCGGAGGAAGACGACGACGTTTTATAAACTTGACTGTCTGAATTGATAAAAAGTGTGTTTGATCCCTGAAAAAGCAAAGAATCCTAGAATCTTCTGATTAAACATCCAAAGACCAAGCTTCTTAACAGTCCAAGTATTCTATATTTATATAGCATATCACATCTTATTGGTCATAAGTATAAGTAACATATTAAGTTTAAAAGCAACAATATTTAACCCTAATTAAGACATCCAGGTAAGGTTGGGTCTTCCCCCTCCTGGACATCGCCCTCCCCCGTGATGGGGCAGAATTGTTCTTTCAGAGGAGCCAAGGTCCACCTGAGGCCCCTGAGCCTGGGCCAGGCACTGCCACGTGTTTATGCTGCCCGGCAGCATACAAGTCAGGACCAAACACCAAGAGATATTTTCTTGATTGTTTCCTCCACGATGTTCTGTGTGCTGTCAACACAAGTCATGTATGCAGGAGCTATACTCTACCTGGTTTTCATCATTCTTCTCTGGAAACTGGATGTTCACATCATGCTCTGTGCGAATGTTGGTAATAATGGCGCCCTTGCGGCCAATAATTTTGGGGTGATACTTTGGGTCCACAGTGATGGTCAGCTTGAAGCTCCTGAGCGCCTGCGGATTGTTTGGTTGAACATCAGGACAATTGTCCATGTGTAACAAGATTGTTGCGGCAGAAATATAAAAACATATCTGAAGTATAAAGAGAAACAAACCCGATCCTCCTGCTCAGCCTGCAGCTCTTTGACACGCTCCAACAGACCTTCTTTGGCGCGGTCGAGGTGGGTGGCCAAGCCAGTGATCGCAATTTTATCAGACTGCAGCTCAGGAGCAGGCACTTGGATGTTTACCTGGAAATAGTTGTGGAGATTGTATTAAAACTATATATATAATAAATCAATAAAAAAATAATAATAAAGATGTGAACTACAACTTCAGTATCTGAACACACAAGAGGAAAAAAAAATCCTAACAAACCTCAAATTCATCCATCATTTTGCGAATTCCGCTTCCCTTCTGTCCAATGATGTAACGATGAAGCTCAAAAGGCACATCCACCTCAATGGTGACTGGAACCAAGGCCTAGAGCAAGGAAGAATTAAATAAACAATTAAGTGGAAAAGCAACTGGTGAGATATAAACGGTCAGTTCTGACCTTCAGTGCTTCCACAGCAGCGTCGCAGCGCTCTTTGCGACCAGAAATCAAAATCACATCACACTTTTTAGGAGCGTTTGGATCAGCTGGTTCCTTTACGTCACCATCAGTCTCTCCATTCTCTTGAACAGGAGCTTCTGCAGGAGCAGCTGCTGAATACATTAATAAATACTTTTAAAGATGCAATAGCAAGCGTGGAAAACCAATTAGCTTAAAACATTTGTTCATGCTTCATAACAGTCCAAGTATAAGCTATAAATTTATTGCAGAGATAAAAAGAAAAAACTGTACCAAGTTGTTCGCTAGCATTTGTTCAAAAACCTCAACCAAGAACACATTTCAGATGTTTTGAAAGCAACCACTGGACCCTCCTGTTCAGGGATGTGTATTGTTGAAATTCTGGCGATACGATACATATCACGATACAGAGGAGACGATATGATATATCACGGTATATTGCGATACATTCATTCAGATGTTACAAGCAATTTTTTTTACTGAATTGATTGAAAGAATGTTCAATAAACAGTCCAAACTGATACGCAACATGTTTAACATGAGGTATCTGAACCACGATGGAGGGATTTACATTTCAATGGTGGAAACAAAACCTGTTGCACACTGCTGCCAACTAGCGGGTGGCGATTGAATTGCACAAAATGAAAAGAAAATACACAAACGTTTGCATGTAAATTCTTTCAAGAATTAGATACACGGCTTTTGAATATCGATGTAATAATCGCAGGAAAAAATATCACGATATATTGCCATATCAATATTTCCGATACACGGCTTTTGAATATCGATATAATATTGCTGGGGGGAAAAAAATCACGATATATTGCCATATCGATATTTTCTTACATCCCTACTCCTGTTGTCATTCTCGCCGAACCGCCGCACTTAGCTGGGTCCTCCACTCATTGCCCACTTGCAAATTTAGCAACACGACACTTCTTGTGTGAGAGGTTCTCCACTCAATATCAGAGAAGAAAGCCAGCGGTACCACTTCGCTTTAGGACAAACTACCAGGATCCCAAAAAGATAAACACCATTTGACAACAGAAGATGTTTGGATCTAAAACCCTGTTTGTGTTCAAAACCTAGCTTGTTCTGTAGGTTTACTATAGCAGCTTTGATAAGAAAACTAAACAAAAGCTCACACAAGCTGGTTAGTTTCACACTTAGAGAAACAGCTGGTTAAAAATAGTATTATTTAAGAAAAATAGTAAAATTACGTATTTATGTCATATGAGAAAAAAAACAAAACAAACAGAAGTCTTACCGCTGCCTTTACCTTGTTGCTCCTCTCGATCTGGAAATTTAATCTGCACGCTGTGATCTCTGGTGATTTGCTGAATGCGGGAGCCTTTGGGACCCATGATAGAACGGTGGAACTTTTGAGGAATCACACACTCGATGGTCACTTGAGCATCCTGGATTAGTTAAAATCCAGAAGATAAACAAAGTTAAATCTGTAGCCAATCTGCAGATGACATACAGTGAAAGTTTTGTAGCTGCACATGTAGAGAAAGATGTTGTCCATAAAAAGCATGTTTAGGTCAAGGTCTAAATAAAAAAAGGATCAATTCATTTAAGTTAAATGTTTGAATAAAATGTCCCACCTCACTTAAAACACAAAGGCCGTTACAAAACCACTACTTACCAAGTCATCGATGATCTCCAGCATGCGTTTCTTGGCCGCCTCCACACATTCTTTGGCTCCTTTAAGGGTGACCTTATCGCTCTGAGAGCCTGTGCGAGGGAAGCTCACCATGACACCACCATACTCATCGGCCAGGTCCCTGAGGACTTGGCCACGGCGAGACACAAAGTAGCGATGGTGCTTGGGGTCAATGTTCATAGAGTCTTCCACAACGTTGTCCTGAAAATCCAAAAGAGCAGACATTATTGTAGCCACTTTAAAATAAGCAGCTGGGTTGAGCTCGTCATCTTGTCACTTTTCAGATACCAAGCTCTTGATGAGCTCCTCCAGTTCCTTCTGAGCCGTCTTCACTGCTTCCTCTGTTCCAACAACAGTGATGAGCTCCTGGTCTTTATCCTCTGAAGTGGGGAAGATTATCCTGGCACCAGTGCTATCACGGACCTTACGGATGTTTCCGCCACCTTTCCCAATGAGAAACTTGTGATACTCCGGCTTGGCGTGCAGCTCAGCAGTAAAACTCTTCGTTTGCTGAAAGTGAATCCCAAAACCCTCATTTCATTTTTTGTCCTGATTGCAGCAGCATCATCACAGTCGGCTACAGCACACTCATATTTTCCCAAGTGTGGTGATGCAACTAACCTAATATGTAAATGGTTGCCACTGTAGTCAGAAGCAACCACCATGTCTAGAGGAGCTAAAGTGCAGGCCTTAGTGGACTACCAGTTCACATCTAAGAAAAAAAAAATCATGATACAGAGATTTGGTGTGAATGAAGTAAACCTGATGACTTTTCGTCACAGCTGATCACCACTCCCCTAGCAGTAGGGATGGGTACCGAATTTGGTACTTTTTAAGGTACCGACCGAATTCCATAGGACCGACCGAGCACCGATTCTCGTCATTTCAAACGGTGCCTCGTTTCGGTACCCGTCCTTCATAACGAGAACTTGCCAAGACAGCTGCGCATGCGCAACAGCGTTATGTCGTCGCTCACTGCGAGCGAGTTGTAAACAGAGCAGCATGGTAGAAAGAACGCACGCTAAAGCTTGGGTCCACTTCACTAAATGTGATGGGTAACTGGGTGATGATGAAACCAGCGACAACAATCTAAGTGAGACATCCTCTTCTTAATCTGCTCCAGTAGGTAAATAAAATGTTTAAGATAATGTTAGCTTGATATGTTAGCTTCCGTTTCACTAATGGTACGTTCGCTTTCTCCTCGGAACTCCGAATTTCCGACTAGAAGAACATGAACGCGCTCTAAAGTTTGGCTTCGCTTTACTAAATGCGACGGGTGATTGGGTGAAGACGAAACCAGCGACAACGATCTAAGTGTGAGGCATCATTGTTTTAATCTGCTCCAGCAGTTAAATAAACTGTTTAAGATAACGTTAGCTTGATATGTTAGCTTCCATTGTTACCGTTGTTATCAGCTAATGGTGCGTTCGCTTTCTCCTCGGAAATTCTAGCTTCCCAGTAGGAAAAAAATCAAATGAAAAAGGACGGCAAAAGGAATGAAGATACACAGTAAATTTAGTTCACAGTAAAGATGCTTGCTTCAGTTTAATTATCAGCTTATAAAACTACAAGGACGATGTTAAAATACAAACAGTTGAATGTTATTTATCATGATATTTATCAAATATTGTTATATATTGAGAAAAACATATATTTAATTATGAAAGAGAATTCAAATAATAAACACTCAAAAGTATCGAAAATTGGTACGTTATCGATTCCTAGGTACCGGGAATTAGTACCGAATCGATTCAAATGTCAAAGTTACCCATCCCTACCTAGCAGTAATCCAAAAGGGTTCAAATGAAGGCAACTGGCTTCTTGAAGAGGTTTGCTTCTCAGCCGCTGAGCTTTGTCAATTCTGACTGGAACATGGGAAGGTCAAGCTTAAGCTATAGCGGTCTACTGTTGCTTAACAGCAGAAACTGCCAATGAATACCTCTCCTCCCTGCCACCCGATGAGTCGTCTACAAAGCAGTCGCACCTTTTATTTTACCAACAGCCACAACAAAGAATCAATAGTGAAAGCTCAAACAGGATAAATATATTAGTTACTCGTATTGGTAATGCTGCGTGAGCAGAGGTGTAATGAAATCTCATACTTGAGTCTTCAGAACACCAAAGTTTAAAACTGATCTCAAATCAGCTCTAAAAGTCCAAAAGCCACAAGGTCTCCCATGTCAGCTTTAGGTCAGAAAATCTTTAGTGAAGACACCATCTGACATATCAGTCTTTGTTGTACTTGCTACCTGAAGGAAGCTAAAACTTCAGACTTCAATATAAAATGGCCATAATATGCCTTTAAGTATGTACAGGTTTGTTCCTACAACCTGACAGGACTAAACAGCTCTCAACCTGAAGTTTCTGAGATGAATGAGGCACATAAGATGCCCAAACCCCACTGGTCCTCAGCTGGCTGAATGTTTTAAAAAAAGCAAGCATCAAGTAGTGAAAGGCATGCTTACAAACCTTTTCCTCTGCTAGAGCAAGCAGTTGCTGCTTTGCCTTCTCCACCTCCTCCACAGGCCCTCTGATGGTGACCTTATCAATCCCAGAGCCCTCAGTTGGAAAGTGGATGTGAACGCCACCACACTCCTCCATGACGGAGCGCACCAAACGGCCCTTTGATCCGATCAAGGAGTTGTGCAACTTGGAGGGAATGGACACATCGATCTCTGAGATGTTGGCCTGAATGCAACAAGGAAACAATCGGGTAAGCACTTTAGTTGAACACAAGGAGGGAGTGAAGATTCAGAAGCTTACCAGCTCCTTCTGGATGGCCAAGATGCGGCTCCGGGCAGCTTCACAGTTTGCCTTTTTGCCCGTGATGATGATCATCTCAGAGTTGCTGTTCTCAGCAGGAAGGTCAATTTTGGTGTTAGTTTCTTCTCGGATCTAAAGGACAACGAGAATGTTGTTCAGTACAAATTGGCAGCTCAATTGACTAGAATATCAGCAAGTACCTTCTTGATGTTGGAGCCTCCTTTCCCAATTATGTTTCTGTGAAACTGTTTGAAGATTGGGACGGAGACCGAGTGGCTGTTCTCCACCTGGCCAACGGAATCAAAGATTGAACCTCTAATGAACGAAATGTATTCAAGCTGAGAAACCTTCATCTTTTAGAAATTTAAAATTTACCATTTCAGCTACGATCTTCTGCATGAACTTGGAGCATTTCTCCACCTCGGTCCGTGGGCCCCTAAGCTGAACGATGTCGCTCTTCTGTGCCGGGTCAGGAAAGTTGATGATGACCTGAAACAAGGACAAAGTTACTCAAAAGATCATCTCCATGGTTATGGCTGACAATCACGCCAGGAGTTTCCAACCAACCTCTGGAAATTTGTCCCGCACTTCCTTTATCTTCTCTCCCTTTTGGCCGATGATGGCTCTGTGAAAACGATGTTCGATGATCAAGTCCTTTGTACGCTCGTTCTCCTAAAAAGACAAACAGTGAGCAACACGGTGCGTGATGGGAAGAAAATGCTAACTTGCCAACTTTAAAGGAGACCAACCATGCGCGACGCTAGCTCAAGCAGCTCCTTCTTGGCTTCCTGCACACCTTGAGGATCCCCCTCGATACGGATGAGGTTGCTCTTCTCGTTGTCGGGGGGTATGCGGACAGTCACCTTGTGCAGCTCTTTGATGCGGTTGACTACAGGTGTAAATCAAGATAAGCTGGAGTTTTTTGGACTTTAAAAGAAATTCCCAAAATGTCTGTTCAGTTTAGTGAAAAGACTCACTGTTAACTCCTCCTTTCCCAATCAGGTGACGATGGAATTTGGGATCCACAGTAATTTCCGTGTAGTCCATTCGGCTTACCTGTTAACACAAAGGTACAAGTTGTAGCCTCCGGAAATGGTCCGTTTTTCAATCTACAGGTCACCTCTTCAGTATCGGGTCATTGGGAGACATAAGTCTTAACTGGTGCTTTAATCTGAAAGAAAAGATACTGTTGCCTCGCCAAGGTCCCTCCAAGTTCACTCTTAAGCCTGGTTTATGCTTCTCCGTCAGCTCCGCAAGGGACAGACACTCACGGATTGACGGAAGCGTTTTGCTCTCATACTTCTCCGTCTCCTGGAGAGTGTTGCAAAGCAATTGCCCAGCAGGACCACAGAGGGCGTAGCACTGTTCTGTGGTATCCTGTCATGTATCGGTCCAAGATGGTGTGTTAATATTGTGTTTTTTGTGTATATAAGAGACTTTTAACACGGACATATTTGTCTCTCATTCTCCCACCGCTTCATGCGCTCCCCAACTCTAAACCCACGTTTCCTGTCATTTCCGTCCACAAATAAAACGCTTGCTGCACATCTTTTCACTCCTCCAGTCACGGGAGGATGAAACGTTCATATTTTTAGAGTTTTTTCGTGAGGTATTCTTCAAGCTTCTCTGTCTGCGGCTAGTTATCCTCGGCTCTCTTTGCAATGGCGGCGCTGTAAACAACAGCGGCGTCCTGACCAATCACAAGCTTGCGTAATCCGTCTCGTTCGACGGATGTTTAAAAAAAAGAGGGCTCAACTCCGTACGTACTTGCGTGCCGGAGCCCTACGCAAGGACGGATAATGGCGTTGCGTGTCTCCGCACTGACGCAGACTGAGAAGCATAAATCAGGCTTTATTCAAGACTGGTTTTTACTCTCAGCACAAGATGGCTGAACTTTCTAAATTCAACCATTATTGTTCATTATATGATTTAAGAATAACAACGTTTTGATTAATCTGCGTTTAAATTACTGTGGTTGAAATGAATATTATGTTATGATCAGTAGTTTTAGATTTAACAAGTGAACCGCTATCTTCTGACAGCTCACACACTCTGACACGTAACGATGACAAGGTTAAGCCAATATCCTGACACATTGCTTTCTGTTCCACCAATCAGAACTCCTGTATCTGACGCGAGGCGTGTTTTCTGAGGTTTGTTGGTAAAAACTCTTTTTACATGTCAAATTCTGATTTTTATCAAAATATGGCGATCATTAAAACAAAGCTCACTTCACCATGAGTTAGTTCTAGTTCTTGTAAGTTCCTGAGAAAGCTTTGGACCGGCCATCCGAAGCAAAACCTTTAATCCAGAGCACCTTTTGACAAGCAGTCAAAAAAACCCTGTTGCACACTACATCTGACCGCAAACGGTTCCTTCAGAACAAAGCTGAACTAACGTCAACTCTTTAAGAGTTATTCCTAAGATGCAAATGACTTGTGACCTGGAGACATCCCGAGACCAGTCTAGTCGGCACTGCAGTTTCTTCTACGAACTTCAGTACCTCTGGGGTCCCCGGACCTCAACATTCCAGATCTACCACGGGGGTCTTCGATCAGGGAACATAGACCCGACAGATTGTGTCTCATGTGTTTTTGATAAGAACCAACTTTGTTAGTTAATAGCAGACCAAATTCACTCCCACTCAGAACTCAGCTTCTTCAAATACGAGGGTTCTGATAGCATCACATTCACACATCCTCACACTTCATCCACTCAGATCCATTCATCACAAATTTTCCTAGTTGTCACGTTTTAATGGTTTAGAAAATAAATTTCTTGCTTTTTATAAACTTGACTCTTCTTGAATTAATAAAGTGTCTTACAATCCCTGAATAAACAAAGAATTCTAAATCTTCTGGTTAAACATTCAAAGACCAGTCAGACTGGATTTCCATATTTATATGGAAATTCACATCATATTGGTCAAAGTGTAGGGTAGTATATCAAGTTTTAAAAGCACCCAAATACATAAGTATGTTACTCCTTACAAAGTTTAAAGGCACATTTGGCAGTTTTGGCTTAATTTTAGCACCCCCCAGTGTCTGGTTTTAGTTTGTTAAACCAAAACCAATCTCCTTGCTGCGCGTTCATCTTTATAACACCAATTCCACCATCTCCGCTCCGCTGCGCTCCGGCACGAACTCCGCACCAAAACCGTCCCGTTTTAGTCAATCAGAGCTGTTCCACTACTGCAGCCGTGCGGCGCAGTGCGCCGGCCGCCGTTCCGCCATCCAGCAAAAATAGGATCTATTCTATTTTAGCCGGATGCCGGAGCACCTCCGCAGTAAACGGACAGAAATCACAACCGCCCAACAGGAAAGGGAGCAAGCACAACTTCCGTTATTTCACAATAAATCGATAAACAAAAAGCGTTTTTTGTTTCATATGCACAGGTTTCACAACTTTTAACAACTATCAAGGCGGTTGAACTTTAAATGCACAAAAATAAGCCATAAATACAGTTTCCACTATCAAAGTAGTCACCCGTTGTTGATCCAACCACTGATCTCTCAACACAAACGATGGAGAGATTAAACAGTTCATTTCGATGCTTCTCCCACACAACGGGTGTTTGGATCCAACTGCCGCGTTTATTGCTCGGACTGTATCGCAAGATCTCGAAAATCCCGCACATGCCTGGTCTCCGCTCAGGTCTCCGCACCGGAGCGGAGCCGTTGTAGAGCGGGTACAGTATAATTTGAGTTCGGAAGCAAGCGGCAGCGGGGGGGGGGGGGGGGCGGAGCGGAGATAGTGGAATTTTGGGGTAACTCAACAGGTGAAATGTTTCCCCAGCCTTCATTAGTGTCTACAGGAGTAATTAATCAGTAAGTTATACATATCAGCTGTGATCATGATCTAAAACATGCAGGAAACACGATGGAAGCAGACTGCAGTGCCAGGTATGTCAGTCCAACAGGTGGCAGCCTGCCAGTCTTAAGCTGGGCGGACACTGTGCGACTTTTTCCACTCGTAGCACTCAGCTTCAGCTCAAACTGTACGACTTCCTCGCAGAGCAGATCTCACGAGTCGTGCGCTCACACTGTATGACCCAGTTCTCGGATGCGACCTGACTGCTCACACTGTACGTCTGGTAGCAACACATCGGCCCTAAAAATATGCTAAAAATAGCAGTTTTTACCCAACACGTCAGACTTTTGTCTTGTTTTGCCTGTTGTCCTTCGGGAGTGCTGCAGGAAGACAGATTTATGGGGGTTGGATGAGGAAAACAAAATAAAGAAAGTAAATCTGTTTTATGATCAGTTTAATTTGACATGAACACGACAAACACGCTTTCTTGACAATCCTTGTCACTGTGTGCAAGAAAAACGTGTAGAAATAAAAACGAACAACGTGTGTTATTAGGGAAATAGCGGGTGAGCGGTGTTGATGCATGATTGCGCATGCGTCGTGAGCAGTTCTGGTATTTTTTGGGTTGCAGCCGCTCGCAGCGCCGCTTCGACCCTCACGAGGAACGAGCAAAATATCAAACACTCCAGAAGACCGTGCGAGCTCACGACTGCTGGTCGGTAGCTGGTCACGTGGTGTTAATCGCCTCTCGTAACCCCCTGTACACTACACAACGCTCAGCGCAAAACTCGCCCCGATCTTGTGGATTCTCGCACGAGTGGAAAATCGGCTCAAAAAAGTGAAAAAGTCGCACAGTGTACGCCCGGCTTTAAGTTTCAAATGCAACCTGACTTTTACACTGTCGGTAACAAGATGGCGCCTGTGCTTGGCTTAGCCGTGGTCACCGGCCACTTTTTTTAAACTTTTCTCCACTAACCTCCTCTTTTCCCACTTTGCTCCTGTCTGTGATCCTCTTCAGTAGTGTCCCTGCTACCATCTCCTATGATCGCCAGACTCTTTTGTCCTTCCGTTCATTCAAGATCGCCCACGATGCACTGGGCCAATGCAGAAAAATTGAGCGCTTGTGGAAGAAAACCCATCCCACGTCCATCTGCTGCACCTAAAGGATCTTCTGACATCCTTCAACTCTGCAGAAACTAGGGTTTCCCATTTCTCCAACCTGGTGTCCCAGAGCAAAGGGAACCCCAAGGTGGTGTTTAACACCATCAGCAGTATTGTCTCCCCCACCTCTCCTACAGCCTCCATCCACTCTGTTGCAGACTGTGAGAACTTTCTGTCTTTCTTTGTGGACAAAGTCAATAAGGTTAGATCTAGCATCCCTCCCTCAGCCTTATCGCTGCCTCTCCCGACTCCAACCAGGCCCATCATCCTAGATAGCTTTGCTCCTGTTTCTTTGCCTGAGTTAACCAAACTAGTTAACTCTATGAAGACCTCTGCATGCCCCCTCCACATCTTACCCTCATCTTTGTTTAAAAGTGCTTTTCAGTCCATCGGCCCCAGTGTGCTCTCTATAATTAATGCTTCTCTGGTCTCTGGTCAGGTCCCTGCTTACTTTAAGAACGCTGTAATCCACCCGCTTCTTAAAAAACCGAGTCTCGACCCCTCTCTCCATAGCAGCTTCAGACCCATCTCTAAACTTCCGTTCATCTCCAAGATCTTGGAAAAGGTTGTGGCTAAACAACTCACAGCTGCTCTTGATGAACATAACATCTATGATGGCTTCCAGTCAGGTTTCCGTAGAGCTCATTCTACTGAAACAGCTCTTCTTAGGGTCTCTAATGACCTTCTGACTTACAGTGATGCAGGGAACTGTTCTGTTCTGGTCCTGCTGGACCTGACTGCAGCCTTTGACACTGTTGACCATCACCTGCTACTGGAGAGGCTGAGAGACTGGGTAGGCCTATCAGGATCTGCTCTGGAGTGGTTCTCCTCTGATCTCTCCGAGCGCTCCTTTTCTGTGGCCGTCTCCAAGTTTAGGTCCTCCACCACCTCCCTTACCCATGGTGTCCCACAAGGTTCTGTGCTGGGGCCTCTGCTCTTCCTCCTCTATCTGCTTCCACTTCAGCACATCCTGAGCTCCTTCAAAGGAATCTCCTACCATCTTTATGCAGATGATATCCAGCTGTACATCTCCTTTAAGCCCCATGAGATGTCTAAGCTGCAGCTGTTACACACCTGCTTTAGACTCTATCAAAACCTGGATGGCTGGGAGCTTTCTTCAGCTGAATGAAGATAAGACTGAGATCCTCATCTGTGCCCCAGACAAGCTGGTTCCCAAACTCAGAGACTCTCTTGGTCAGCTTGCTTCTCACACCAAACCTTCCGTCAGGAATCTTGGTGTGACCTTTGACCCAGCTCTCACCCTGGATTCTCTTATCAGGTCTCTTGTTCGCTCTTCCTTCTTCCATCTCAGGAACATTGCTATGCTGAGTCCCATTCTGTCCCGCTCTGAACTTGAGACAGTTGTCCACACCTTCATCTCCTCACGCTTAGACTACTGTAACTCTCTTTTCACGTGTCTGAGCAGAACCTCCCTGAACCGTCTACAGGTGGTTCAGAACGCCTGTGCTCGGCTTCTGACCAAGTCCTCCAAACACACCCACATCACCCCGCTTCTCCTCCAGCTTCACTGGCTGCCAGTCAACTTCAGGGTTCATTTCAAGATCCTGGTTCTGGTCTATAGGGCCTTACATGGACAAGCACCATCTTACATTGGTGATCTTCTTAGTCCCTACACCCCCAGCAGGTCCCTGAGGTCCGGTGACCAAAGCCTACTGGTTGTGCAGCACCAGGCTAAAGGTCAAAGGTGACAGATCTGCTGCTGTGGCCCCCAGACTCTGGACCTCTCTCCCCCTGAGCCTGAGATCAGTGGACTCAGTGGTCTCCTTTAAAAAGCAGCTGAAAACACTTGTTCAAGCTGGCTTTTGTATGACCTTCACCACCCTTTATTCTGCTCTCCCCACCTATTCACTCCGTTTACATTTTTTTAATCACAATTGTCTATTTTTTGCTCATTTTAAATATATTTGTAACCATTTTATAATTTTTTTTTTTATATTTTTACATTTGTTTTTGTGAAGCGCCTCGTGATTTTTATCTTGAGAGGCGCTATATGAAATGATATTTTCTTCTTCAGTATTCTGGCCACAGGGCGCAGTGGGGGTCTGAGATACATTTCATTAACCCTGTAAAGGGTTGTTTCAGCACATACGGTCTCAAGATCCCTCTCACCCTAGTCATGGACTGTTTGAAACCCTACCTTCAGGAAGGAGGTCCTTATAGAATAGAACCTCATGCCACAAAAACAGCTTCTTCCCCTCTGCTGAAGGCTCCTGAACAACCGATGAATGGTCCAAACACACACAAATGCCCCGGTCACCCACATTCCTACACTTATGATTGCTTTCTGGCCATGTTTCTTTCCTCATTATTTGATGTGTCCTAATGTAAATACTGCCTGACCTGAATTTATGTTTGCACCTTCCCACCGTAACAAATTCCTAGTAGATGAGCCTCTCACCTACATGGCAAATCGGATTCTGAAGACATTGATGTAAGAATACAAAAAGTTGCATAGTATGGCTTTAAAGGCATTCCAGCCTTGAAAATGAACCCATTGTTTTATTAAGCCAACAATGCTCACCAAATCTGTAACAATGGCTTCGATTTGAGTCTGCGCCATTTGCACATCTTTAGTTGGACCCTCCAAGGTGATTCGATCTTCTCCTTCAGTAAACTCGATGTGCACCTAGAACCAGAAACACAGTACAGGATACATTCAACTAAAGCTAAAAATACACTTAAATGGGGTTTTTTAAGGATTCAGACCTTGGGCATTTGTTGGGTGATCTTAGCCAAATTCTGTCCCTTTTTGCCAATTATGAAACGATGAAGCCAAGAAGGAGCCGACACCGAGGAAACAGTGTAACTGTTGGCCTGAAAACAGAAAAACTTTCATTAACCGATCACTGCCTTCACATCTGCATTTATTCAGCATAAAATGGTTTTACCTTGGCGTAAACTTCAGTAAGAGCCTGACCCAGACGGTCTGGCTCCCCACGAAGGATGACAGTTTCTGAGCCGTTGTCAGAGGGTGGGATCTCAACCGAAACACCAGTTCTATCCAGGATCTCCTGCAGGGTATTTCCCTTGGGACCAACCACATACTTGTGCTGGGATTTCTTCACCTCCACTGCAATGGTGGTGGTATTCTTCTTCTACATGAAAATACATACTTCTTGTAGAACGAGTGACAAAACCCACTGAAAGATTTAATTTTCCAACATACCTTCTCTTCATAAACCTTCTTGATCAGAGTTACAGCAAGGGCCACCTGCTCCTTTTCCCCAGTGATGACAATCTCCGTCTTATTTACACTTGGCGGGGGGATGTTGATGCGAGCACCGGTCTCCTGCATCATCTCTCCTACCAACTTATTATAGGCACCGGTGATAAAGGGGTGGAACACCTTGTCTATGTTCACTCTCTCCACAGCACGCTTGTCCTAAACAAAAAGAATTCTCCCTTTTATTACAGAATCAGCAAATAATTTAAAAAAACCTGCAAATGCATTGAAGTTGTGTTACCTGCTCAGCAGAGATCAACAGGATCTCATGCTTAGCCTTCTCCAGGCCCTCCTTGGTACCAGAGATCTTTATCTGATTGCTGGGGTCTTCTGGTCGTGGTATCTGGATTTTGGTGGCAGTTTTGAGCTCTAGCTCCTGAAGCTTCTCCCCATTTTTGCCAATGACAAAACGATGGTGTTCCTTAGGGATGGCAACAGTAGCTGAAGCCTGTTGGGATAAAAAAAAAAAAGTTACTCTTATTGGTTTTTGTGTGCGAGCAGAGTTGTAATGAAATCTCATACTTGAGTCTGCAGTCGGGACACAATCTCCTTGCGGGCCTTCATCACAGCTTCCAGCTTTCCAGAAACCATGATGGAGAGACCTTGATCTTTGGCCAAGGAGAGTTCTAGATGGGCTCCAGTCTTCTGCATGATGTCCACGCAGACCTTTGCTTGGTCTCCTTCCCCAAACTGGTTGAGGTCCTTGTACTTGCGCTCCTCTAGCGGCACATGGAAAACCTGGATCATGTAGAAAAACAGACAATAATAATGAAGACAAAACTTCACGATAAAGCAGGACAATGTCCCTGAACTTTGGATCAAGTTTCAAGAACTGTTGAGAATTTAGCTCGCGCTAAATCAAACATTCACACTGAAACATATTGGCTCGGGCCAGTTCTCTCTTCACACACCTGCACACCAACAGCTGAAAGAAAGTATACCTGGGTGATGACAGAAGACTTCAGGGGACGAATCTTAATCCAGGCATTGGCAGGCTCCTGGGTCCCCTCAGTTGTTGCCGCTTTCTCAGGCAGAGGTGGAAAGGCATCCTTGTAGGTAGGAAGTTCCTCCTCATCAGCACCGGGACCTCCAGCAGCTGAGCACAAACCATTCATTCAAGTTTATATGAAGTCTTGACATAATGCAGCCCAGTCTTCGACATTCTGCTCCTTACCTTTTTTCTGCTCTGGCAGGAGTCCACTACGATGCTCTTTGAAGCTTTCCTGCGTAAGTACGGCGACTGAGCTCATGGTTAAAATCCCACGTTCACAGAGTCCGAGTGTGACACTGAAGAGAAAAAAAACACTTTCATTCCATTAAAATGACTTCACTTATGTGCTTTTAAAGCCTTCGTTAAAACTGTTGGGTAATGTGGAAAAATGTGGTCTGGCATCAATGGATCTAAGGCTTGGCCAATAATATGAGTTAATTCATGCTTTCCATTTTCAGTTTAAAAACAAGAATGTTTACTTTTACACTTCTTTTTAAATTGGATAGACAATAAAAAAAATTCCATCGTTCCAGATTAAAGATGCAAGATGGTAAACACACCAGACAAACTCAGTCAAGCAGCTCATTTTGATAAAACATTCGATAGCAGATCCTAAAAGTAAAACTTTTATTCTTTTAATTGTCATTTAAGTGTGGAAAGAACAATACAGATTGTAGGTCAGAGATCGTTTTCAGGAGGAATAGAAAAATAGGAGTGAAAAACGAAAATTCGTCAGAGCAACTGAAACATTTCCACCAGAAAGTCAGGATGAGGACTACGCATCATCAGTACTCACACCAACAGTTCAACGCAGGGGTGGACTGGGACCAAAACAATAAAAATAAGCCCTGGAATATCTCCATGGGTACAACTGTCTGCTGGGGGGAGGGGGGGTCTCTCATGAACTTTGCTGAGGGATGGGAGCAGTGGTTGAAGTGGAGATAATAAGTGCCGTTTATCCACTGTAGAAAAAGCATCTTCAATCTGCTCCTAAAACTACAACCGCTAGGCTTTTGACACCTGGACTGGATTACTCTACACGGCTACAAATGAAGGTTCAAGTTAGAACCAAAGACAGTTCTTCAGTGATGCCATAGGGCCGCGTTTCCCCAACCCTGGTCCTCCAGAACCACTGCTCTACACGTTTTCCACGTCTCCGCTTCAGCACACCTGATTTACATTGGCTCCTCAAGAGAGATGTTTTAGGTTTTATTTTCTGCATCAAACAGAACTTGATTCATTCTCCAACATTTCAGAAATGAACCACTGGATTCAAATAAAACAAACCAAGTCAAACATTTCATTTGGTGTCATTTCTGACACCCTTCAACTGCGGCATAAATATCTGACTAAAGCTGCTCAGAGACATTAAACACTCATATATGAACCCATTCTGTATTTTATTATTACATTATGTGTCCTTTTTAGTATTTTTTCCAGATTCAGAGTTTTTGCAAAGCATGTTTTTCTCAGCCTGAGGTGTGGTGTTGAATGAGGAAACAGATTGTTTTACTTTGTTAAATCTTCTTAAATGTTTTGTCCTAACCTGTTGTGATTGGAGAGCTTTTGAGGGATGGTTGGTTGTGTCAATTACATTTTTGATTAAAATATATATATAAATAAAAAGCTATTATCTGACATCTTCTATTTATTGATGAAAACAAATTAATATGAAATAATCGTGATGCTTCGGGATATCGAATCGAAGACCCAATAATCATACTCAAATAGGGAGACAAGTGAAGATTCACACCTCTAACAATAAATATGAAAATAAATGGCAATTTTTTTTAACCATTGGTTGCAAAAATCAAATGTGAACCTTAACAGACCGTTAATATTGGAGATTTTTGATGCAGTCCGATATAATCTGATCATGGTTTGGGGCCGATATCAAATTACTTTCAATATTGATATTGGAACGGGACATCCCTAACTGGCCAATCAACCCTAGAGCACACCGGCCGTTCTGGGATTCTCCAGAACTCAGATGGCCAGTCCGCCGCTGGTTTAACATGTATGCAGCAGTGAGGAAATGTATATAAAAGTGACCTCATAACTTTAGTGCTCTAATGTCAAACAAAACACACAAGGTGCAAACTATCAGCTATGATCTGATTAGTATTAAAGCATGTCTACTGGTGTGTAGAACATTCACCAAGAAGGTTTCACCAACATGCTCTGTGGTTCTGCTCAGGAACGGGCTGAAGTTTTTATCTTATCCAATTACCTTTATCAAAGGCAGGCAAGTGTCACCCAACGACCACTTTGTCACGTCAACAATGTCAACACGGTGTGTGTCGAATAATGGATTTAATCTTTATACCAGCGCCTGAGTCAAGTAAAGCTGAAGACACTGATTTTTACGCGCGTGTGTGCGTGTGTGTGCGTGTGCGCGTGTGTATAGAGCCAAACATCAACACCAGACAAGGAAAACATTTAGAAAGTAATCATTAGAGCCAACGTAATCCAAGCAAAAACAAACAGTGTTTGAGCTCCATTCTGATAACCGAGACTCATTCGCACCAAAACTCTGGATAAAAACATCACTGTTAAAGATGGCTGCCACAGGTTAATGGCCTAAACTCAGTCTATGATTTAGAAGAACATAAAGTTTGTGTTGGAAAAGATTCTCTGCTGGTACAACTTGAACTAAAAAACTGATCTCTATAGCACAATAAGCAGCAGTCAACATGCACTCCTTCAGCGTTTAATCAACTCGTTTTCCATTTTAGTATCATTCCTTCTGTTAAACTCTGGGAATCAATGGCCTACAGAAAAGGGAGGCCCATCTAAGGTTTTTGTGGGTCTAGTTGTACAAGCACAATAAAAACAGGCGTTTGTGTTTTGATTGGCAACTAGACAAGTGAGATCTTTAAGGGTGGATTTATCTGAAATTCTAAGACTTCTGATGAGGTGACACAGCAGAATGTCCTGTTATTCATGCCGTGTCATCTTTTAAAATTAGAACAAGTGAATTAGGGATATGAAAGCAGCACAGGTTGAGAGAGTTTAGTGATGACACCTTCACCTCTGCTATGCTATGCTATGCTGGCAGGGAGAAGGCACACCCTGTATCTAATTGTTACCTGAAATCTAACCTCCAGCTCTCAGAAGGCTCCTGCTGCCCTTTTCACCACATGAAGGTTATAGTGAATCCAGTAACGTGATGTTAAAAAGATTAGTCACCCAAAGTCGAAAAACTCAGCTGATTGAAGCTACAACCCCAGCCTGTGGCCTCCTGGCTAGGAGGGAACATCAAGGGATGGTTTGGGCATTTTGCTGGTTGAGTGACAGCAGAAACTAGAATAGCAGTGACTCGGTGAGGCGAGACAAAGACTTGAAAATCCTTTAAACAGCTAAATGAGCACCTGCTTCAGAATTGTACTGGTTGTTGAAAACAAATGCATGTGCCAAACTTCTCATTTTGAGTGCGAGAGGTATCAGGGAAATAGTCTTTTCCTTTCCCAGTACATTGTTTAGACCAATAAAGTGAAGATTTACATTGATTACACAAACTTGACACCCAGATCAGATTCTTTTAAGAACAGGAAACCTGAAATATTCTGCATCAGACCTGGCTCTCTTTATTGCTCTGCCAAAGGCTTTTATAAGAATTCATGCAAAAAAAAAAAAATTTAAATAAATAAAAAAATTATATAATTTTTTTTACTAAGGTAAAAAAATCATAGAAATAATCTTACCAGCTAAATGGTCAGTTACCAGATAATCCGTCCTGTAAAATGCAAGTTCCCGTCAGCCTGCCAGCTTTTGCCTGCAAAGACAAAAGGGAAGGGTTCAAATATTTGTGGTGAGGTTAAAACTGAAGCGTCCAAATCTTTTTCATTAAATTGTTTTCCTTTTAATTATGTTCATTAAGTATTTTTTAGCTGTTCAACAGCAAACATGTCATATTTTAACATTTACTGTCCCAGAAAAAAGGGATCAGAGATCCCTTTTAGATTTGAAACTAGGTTTTTTCTTTCAGAAAGTTTCCTAGATTTGATATGCATCATTTAATTAAAGTAAAAGCTAGATAAACTGAAGACAAATATCTAGTTTTTTTAGTTTTTCCCCGTTTTAATAGTCTATTTGGCAAATATGTCACCACAAAAATGAAAGAAAATGTGCATCTGCAACAGACGCCTTAACTAGAGGGCCAAAATTATACCATTATCAAATTGCAGGGCCGCAAGTGGTCTCTCTGAAGTTTACAGAGTGTTACTATCTAGGGTGGCCAGAGACGTTGTGTATATTAGCAGTCATGGTGTCGTTAATACAAAGTAAAACTGTTTTGCAAACCATGATGCCAGACAACAGTAAACACTTTAAATCTCAGTAACAGATAAAAGCTGGTGTTGAGGGGAAGAAATGAATGGTGGGATCAAGAGCCACAGTCTAGAACGTGGCAAATGATCACATTCGTGAGTGAATCAGGTCTTTTTCTCCCTCATTCTTATAGAAGAGTGTGTGTGTGTGTGTGTGTGTGTGTGTGTGTGTGTGTGTGTGTGTGTGTGTGTGTGTGTGTGTGTGTGTGTGTGTGTGTGTGTGTGTGTGTGTGTGTGTGTGTGTGTGTGTGTGTGTGTGTGTACAGCTGAGTTTAGTACTCAGCGTCTTAGTCTAATATTTGTTTACCAGCCCTTCAGATGTAGGGATAGATCAAAGTTTTAACAGAGGTAAGCAGCTGGATTTAATTGGACAAAGGGGGTTAAGATCAACCCTCGTAAGCCAAAACTGGAGAATGAAGGTACAGAAATACAGAATTCAGTTAAATTCACAGCAAACTGGTGAAAAACGTGTGGTCTTCTTTATTCATTTTCCTTTAAGGAAAAAAAAAAACCAGAAACCTTTGAGCTCCAGCAGTAATACAATAATCTACAATATATAACCCTCTATAGCAGTGTTATAGCCAAGAGGTTAACTAACCCAAGAACTGCTGTGAAATGTCACCAAGGCTAACAAAACAAAATGATTAAAGCTTGGAGTCAAATTATTTTATTCCGACTGATCACATGTAAAGCAAGCGTCAACACCGGCTTGTGCTACGAGCTAGTTGACCTAACATTTATTTTTCCCAGTAGACAACCTTCGAGTTCTAATATTTAAACTCTTAAATCCCAGATTACAGATTTAAACTGAGGTAACAAGATATCACGTTAACTGACTGACAGCTGCCAACCACACAGTAGATGCTAGCTGCGGCTAACCTTGAATAAATAAGAAAATACCTAAATATCGCTCATTCCGACACCAACAATATCAGCAGGGGTCACGGAGATAGCGTTAACGCTACGTGTCTTTAACCAGGAGCGCGAGATCCACGGGGACAAGAACGTTTCAAACCATTTAGCTTGCTAGCAAACTTGCTAAAAACTTTAACAGTGGTGTGCGGCTGTGACACGTAGCTCTTTAGCTAGTTTAAATTAGCCTGCCTAAGAACTTAAGAGTAGTTAGTTTTCTAGTTACAGACACTCAACTCTTCGCTATTCCAACTTGAAAATGTCACGATGATTATATCCACACACTCAAACAGCGACCGTGTCAGTTACACGCAGTTTATTCCAACATCAAGCACGCTGTGTAAAAGTTGGGACTGCAGCGTAGCTAGCGAGCTAATGTTAGCTTCCATCACTGCTTGCCAAGTCCACGTAGGCACACAGCTGAGACGGGTTAAAATGACACGGAGTCAGGCTAGAACACAATGCAACACTCCCGGATCACGATCCAACCATCAGACAAACAAGTACCAGTATATTCTTCATGTGAAGAGCCGGGGCGCGGGGTGATGTGGAAATGGTTTGATAGAAGATAATAAAGTACTTACTTATTTTATGTTCTCGTCTGCCCTGAAGGTGCAGGAGCTGAGATGAAATTCCACTGGCGAGAAAGTGGGAGTGAAGCCTGACGGATATATAGCGGAACCAGCCACCAATCACGTCCTCTGACGTCACGTCACGTCCCAGAGTCCGGTTACGAACCGACTTCTCGTTTCCGGGAGTGACAGATCCTTGAACTTTGATCTCGAACTGTTTAAATTACCCCCAAATAGTGATCAGTCGGAGCTGGATATCCCAGTCAGGCATGGCTTCAGACCCAGAAGGTGGTGAAATTATTCAAGCACAAAACAACAATCTGGTTATAATTAAGAAAAGATTTGTTAACATGTAATGCATGTTGTTAAATCTGCAGGTTTCCTTTGCAGAATTGTGGGGAAAGTATTTGCTACATTACAGATTTATTTCGTTTTTGCCCATGCAGCTGAGCAAACAAATGCTAATGTCAGACCACCTGAAAATTAAATATTATATCTTATATCATGACTAAACTGATTGTAACACCTCATGTACAAACAACCATCATGGAGCATTTTTGATAAATTGTGATAAGTCTCTCTCATCACTGGGGAGGAATTTTGCCCCACCTACAGATTTGTTTAAATTTAGTCACACTGAAGTGTTTTCCTAGCCTAGTGAACTAGACCAAATTCTTGCTTTGCAAAGTTTGGTCTAGGCATGCTCCATTGGAACCACCGCAGCTCCTACCAGGCCTCTGGCTGGCCAATCACGACTCTCTAGAGGGGTTTCAAACACATAAAGAGCTGTGATTGGTCCATAATGGTGGGCCAATCATAGTGCTCTATCTGCTTAGTGAACAAATCACAGAGCTTTATCCGCTTTGTGGGCCAATCAGGGCACTCTATATGCCTGGTGGGTGGGATGATGCAACAGAGTGAAAAAAGAGGATGTCACATTCATTGTCCAGTGGAATGCGGAGATCATTTGAAAGACAACGGTAGAACCCGCCCCACAACCGAGAGCCATCAATGGAGCATGGCCAGACTAAATAATACATTTATTTAAACATTTATTTAGTCTGGCTTGCCAGGCTAGTGTTTTCCAGCTTGAATGGATGAATGTTTAGGGTCACAAGTCAGACGTGCTCTAACCTTAACCCTTCAACTGCAGCAAATCAACCATGTCCTGAAGCAACAAAACCATAAGAAATGTGTGAAGGGGTCATACACCTTTTCATTTATTCAGTTAGTATATTTTGTGGATTTTTTTTTAGTTGACTCATGGTGGCAGCCATCTTGAATTGGTCCAACACATCAGTTGTAGAAGTGCATCTGTTAGTTTCTTTAGTTTCAGTCCAGTGGTTTAGGAGCCGACATGTGCATTGGATTAGTTTTGTCATTTGGCTGCACAGTTTGGTCATGTATCTCAGATAAAAGTTAACTAGTTCAGTCAGCAGATCAATGAGTCCCGGCATCCCTGGGTTATGGAGATACAGCGGATGGATGCTGACGTCTCAGAATGACTTTACAAAGAGAGCTTTAGATACATATAGACTGAGGTCTCTGTTGTCCAAATTCAAAACATAGCAAAGGTTGTGTTCATTCAGACACAGAAACCTTAAAGTTGATGTTGGTGCTGCAGAGCTAACCTGGACTTTTTATGTTTAATTCTGTAAATGCTGACATATTTACATTACTTGCTCATTACAAGCTCACACATCATTACATGTATAACAGTTATGTCCTCCTCTCCCACTGATTGGACAGGAATTCGAGAAATGTGATTGGTAGTTAATAATAATAATAATAATAATACATTTTATTTAAAGCGCCTTTCAGAACATCCAAGGTCACTTGACAGAAAATACTTAATAAAATTCAATAAAACAACAATCAAACGCTAACAAGGAAAAACAAAGAGAAACAGTTCAATAAAATCAGAGGTCGTAGGCAGATTTAAACATGTGTGTTTTGAGTTTGGTTTTGAAAAGGGTAAAACTGTCAATGTTCCTGATGTCTGGGGTAAGTGAGTTCCAGAGACGAGGAGCAGAGCGGCTGAAAGCTCTGCTCCCCATGGTAGCGAGACGGGCAGAAGGAACCGCAAGATGGATGGAAGAAGAAGATCTGAGTGAACGGGATGGGGAGTTACTACTTATAAGGTCTGAGATATATGGAGGAGAGAGGTTATGGATTGCTTTGAAGGTATGGAGGAGAATTTTGAAGATGGACCTGAATTTAACTGGGAGCCAGTGAAGCTGCTGGAGAACTGGGGTGATGTGGTGAAAGGAAGGGGTTCTGGTGATAATACGGGCTGCTGAATTCTGGACCAGTTGCAGTTTATGAAGGAGTTTGTTGGGGAGACCATAAAGACGTGAATTGCAATAGTCGAGACGGGAGGTGACGAGGCTGTGGACGAGAATGGCGGAAGTGTGAGGGGTAAGGGAGGGGCGGAGACGGTTTATGGAACGTAGATGGAAATATGCTGACCGAATTATGTTATTAATGTGAGCTTAAAAAGAAAGTGAGCTGTGGAGGATGACACCCAGACTCTTGACCTGAGGGGAGGGGGAGACTATGGCGCTGTCAATAGTTAAGGAAAAGACTTGTTAAGACTTGTGTTCTCATTGGTTCCACCCAAGTTCCTCCCACCAAAGCTAGAATTGAGACAAAATTATTTGTAACACTGTAGATTTGAGGTTTGTACCTGTAGAATGAAATGTGTGTTTTGAGAGTTTTGATTTCAATCTTGTACATTGATTTTTTTATTTTGGGGGTCTGCTAGGTAAAAACCGAAACCTTCATTTTTCTGAATGAATGTTTGATGTTACAAAATGAGTAGTAAATGTACAAAATAAAAGTTTGATTTTACAAAATAAAAAACTACATGTACAAACTGAAATTTTCCTGTTACAAAACAAGAAATACAAGTACAAATTGAGAATAACAAGTTAGAAAACTAAAGTTACAATTTACGAATCCAAAGTTACATGTCACGAAACATGTTCCAAGTTACAAAACTTGGTACAAGTTACATTGAATATTGTCCCAATCCTAGCTCCATATTGTAGGTCCAAGCGTCTTTTGTTGTCCTTGACTTCAAATGGTGTTTTTATTTGTGGGACGTTTGGACCTAGAAAACGGCGACTGGTTGTTGCAAGCCAATTTACCGGGCTAGCTCCACTCTTCTAGATGTTATTAAAATCTCAGGTTTGGCCTGAAATCAGTGTAGTGGACGTGACATTAATTGCCAGTAAACACCCTTCCCTATGTAGACAGTTGATTAGCAATCACCAAATTACCCAGAGCTTCTAATTCTGACCAATATATCTTTAAGTAGACACAAGTGTAGCGTAGATAATCTACATAACTAGGATTTAACGCTGTTGCTATTCAGCTCTGTTAAATTCTGAGAAGATCAAACAATTTGGCTTATGAACTTATAGTTACATAGATATCCACGGATATTTATATAATCGATAGAAGTACATACACCAACTGGCTTGGTCTATATTTAATCCAAAGATTAATATTTAATTTAAGAGATTTAAATTAATAGCAAAAGTTTATTTATCAAATCAGAAGATTTAAAGAAATCTTTGCTCGTTCAATAACCAAATATACACCATTCTGTGTTTCATTTGGTAACACTTTATAATAAGTGCACACTATTAAGCATTAGTTAATCAAATGACAATTTATAAAACTTTGATATTAAACTCGGTATTAAAAACAATCTGTGTCTGGATGAGGACTAAAATGAAATGCATGTGTTGGATGTGTGAATGGAATCTCAGAAGGTTTCTTTCAGAGAGAGAAAACGCGTTCTGGGTGAAAGAGTTGTTTTGCAGCTGAACTAAGTTATTTCTTAAGGGGAACAGCATACAGACGCAATCTGTGTTCTACCTCAACATTCAGACGACCCTCTGTGTGGATCCGGAGGTCATGGGAGGATGTTGTCAGCCTCTGGGTACTCGGTCCGGTAGGGAAGACCCGAGTGGTACCGACTCTCCAGTCCAAGAGTTGCCGCAGACACACAGGTGTTGAGTTTGTGTCTTAAATTAACTCTGAAGGAGTTTGCGTCAGCTGGTTGCAGGTGGTGTTTGTTGGAGCAATTCTATCGGCATGACAGAACAGCTTAGTGGAGGCTTCGAGCGGTCGTCTCGATCCTCTGGGACTCTCATGCCACGGAGAGATTTTGGTGAGCTTCGAACTGAGGAGATTAGGTTTTAACAAAACCTAAGGACACGCCCTCTCAGAGATAGAAAGCTTTGGTTATGGAGCAAAGACATGTGAGGTGCAGTTACCTTTACCCTGATTTCTGTGTCCTGCATGGTGTGTATAAGTGAACATGACCTTCTTTACACTGTTAAACATTACTGATTATCATAAATAATAATAATTATTAACCAAAGAATAATAATTCATTTCAGTAATTAAATACATTTATAATGAACCATGATGATTATTTATGAACCTTGTAATAAGACAGTGAAAATAGTTTATTAAAAATGATTCTTTTAAATCTTGAAGTGTCCTTCATCTTGCGGACGGAACAGCAGTCAGATAAAAGGCAGTCAGATTAAAGATGGTTTACAGCAGACTTTATGTCTCCTGTGATGGATAATCTGTAGATAGAAGGACAGCTCGACCCAGCTCGACCAAGCTGGGGAAGTGTGACCTTTGGGTCACAAATGAGGCCATTCATGTCGCTGCACAAGGAAGACTTTAAATGACACCAGCACACACTTCCCACTCCTTCAGCTCATGTAAGCCTCAGGTCAAGACTCTAATCAGCTGTTCCTTTATGCTAAAGAAACAGATAGTTTAACTGTAGCAACAGGACGGTTTTAGCATTTATTATCATTTAACACCTTAGGATGGGATACGGCAATCATCTTTTCATAGACTACCGACAGAGGAGACCCCCAGAGACCGTGGTTTCTTTTTAAGTTCCTCGTAGTGAGAAAACAATTGTATTCCAAAAACAGATAAAAAGATGAAAATCCCGTCGCAGCGGGTCACACAGACAACATCCAAAAACTCTCTTTCCCCAAAATCAACTCTCTTCCACAGCTGGAAAACAAAAATATAATCCATGTAGCATCTCCCGTCGCAGCGGGTTAATAAGTGAAAAAACTCTTTACCAATAAACCAAGTCATAGCGAAGTTGGAGCTGAATAAGCTTTGAAAAAATGAACCCCGGTCAGAATCTCAC